ATTATAGTGAGAGGAAGAAGTTACGATTTTTTGAAATTGGCGCAACAGAGCTTTCGGACCAACCTAATATATTATAAAATACCCATAAAACTATAGATGTTCTTCCGGTGTCTTTGCAAAAAGTAAGAAGTTTCTTCGTTTGATTTTGGACTTCCATTCGTTTATATACTCATCTCTACATACGTATTGAAAAGGAACAACTGCTTTTTGCTCAAACGCGGAATGAGATTTTTTATTATCAACAATTCTGTATTCAGTACTTCTCATTTTATATCTCAAGGCCTTACTGCCTTCTCCATGTGCGTCATTGCGAATTCACTGAGCGCATAATTCTTTAATTTCAATGATAAGTGCATTTTTGAAGGATCCGAGGCATGTCGGTGCCTTGTGTTCTTGTACGAAACACCCGTCAGTTGCTGCTGAATCATGGAATACGTTGCATTTCACAACCGCGTCCAGGATATGAGTGAGTAGAAATTCATGTAGGAGGCTTCCATGTTGGAAAAGTCAGCATAATATTTTCGCTTAATTTAGTGTGTTTGCGGTGCCAAGAGTGGGCGACCAAGTTTGCGCGTGAAATAGCCGCGTTTGTGATGATGACGTTTTGCGCTCGCAGGTGGCCGGCATTACGGGCGCAGCTACTGTTCACGCGCAAATGTGATTGCCCATCTAAGCACCAAGCGCACAACGTTAGATTGAAAATTCACTAGAATGTAGTTCAGAACTAGCAGAAAATTTGAAAAATTGAAGTTTGGGTTCGTCTTGAATTTTTGATCCCATAGTGGGGCTTATTTTGTTATGTTTTTTTTTCAAGGTCTGGAAGTAGACGATCCGTGACGACATACCAAGCAGCCGTCGCTGCACCGGCCCAATCTGACAAAGGCTCATCGTCTACTGATTCCTCTCATAAATTCAGTTTTCCTCCTGAATTCGATGTTGTCGTCGTTGGTGGTGGTATTGTTGGAAGTGCAACAGCTCGACAGTTAAAGATAGAACATCCTAATCTTAGAATATGTATGGTTGAAAAGGAGAATAAGTTAGGTAAGTAAACTCATTGCTTGTTATTCAAATCTAAAGTCGAGTGCAAACTACGTGACAGGACGGGGG